GTGCGGGTCGTTTCGGTGGATCGGTCAAGGAGTCGGCGGGAAGGAGGCGCTGACCACTTTGTTTTAATACCAATAAATTTTATTAACACTTGATACAGATTGTCCTTTTTAATTCGGACCGCGACAGACGTGACGGCACGGCGGATCTCGACTTCTCCTCTCCTAGTATCGGTCTTCCGTTTTTATCCTTTATTCCAGGCGGCCGGTCCTTGCCGTGTCATCAACATGTTCGTCAGCGTTCGCGGTATATTTCTGGGTCGCGCGGCAGTTTTCCGCGTAAGGGCCGCGCAACCCGGTTAACAGTTGCTTCACGTGGAACGATTACACAATATTTGCGCGATTAGCACGGTAGCGTTGGTAATCGCTATCGCTTGGTAAAATAATAATTCGTCGGATAAAGCATCGCTTGCCGCAATCCGCTTTGTCAGCGGTGAGCGTGATTGCGTTCTCGGCGCTCTCGACAACTTCTACTCCCTTTTTCTTTTTCTTTTCTCTTTCTTTCTTTGCCATCGGACCTCTCTGACTCCCTATGCGTTGTGGAGTACTCAGCAGGTTCATGGCCTCCGAATAATTCGGGAAATCTATTCTTTTTTTTCTCTCTTACAATTTTCTCTTTCCCTTCTTCATTTCTCTCCTCCGTCGGATCTCTCAGTTTCCTGAAATATTTCAGAAATAGCCTTAAGGTTTACGACCTATGACATTTTCTTCATATTCCAACTAATCCATTCTTCTAGTGAGATCTACATCATCCTCTCTTTCCGACGCTCAAAAACGGAGGCGAGCCTTGAAGAGCCTCCGTTATCGTCGCAATAAGCGAGCTCGTCGATCAGCCAACTACCTCTCGCTTAGGACATCCGAAGTTTTTACACGTGCTGAAGAACCATGAGTTGTTCCAGCACAAGACCCTATTCACTGTGCATCTCTCCTCCGTCCTATTCCCCGATTAGATCATCCGAATCTGGGTCACCTCCAGATTTCAGCGCACTCTTTCCAGAGCACCATGACACAAATTCCCAATATCCAGATTTCCGCACTAAGGAATCCTTGGACGAGTTCTGCAAACTCCGGACTCCTTCCCCTCTTCCCCTAGATCTCATTATTAGAAATCCGACTTCCTCTCCGAAACAACCACACACGGATATCAAAATATAAATTTAAATATATTAAACAATGTAAGATAAGAATAATTAGAATGTAAACAAACATACAAATATAATCGAATTTGTACACGAAAATTAAATAATACATCCGTAAATTTTCTAGAACATTTATATTATATGAATTTCCGTATGTATAAATCTCCGTTCCTTTATTCATCTCGAACACAAAAGAACATTTGTAACACCTTTTTTTTATGATCAAATGTAAATATATCTTAAGCAAATGTACTTCGACACAAGAAATAATGACGCGGATCTTATAGTTAATTAAACTTGTAATCGTTTTTAAAATTATTAATTATATGTAAAATTCAAATTATCGTTTATCGTTTAGTTATTTCCTCCCTCTTTCATTCCCCGCTATCCTAAGATTCGCACATGGTCCTGTCCCTGGCAAAAGAAATTAAATTCTCTTGCCTAAATTACGAACCGACGGACGCACGTCACGCAGTCGAAGTCATAGCGTCTTTTTCAAGATGTTGACTCGCACTCGTGGATCTGCACAGTACGTCCGACTCGTAGGAACACCTCAGCGCGCCCACCTGCGAGAGGGTATTTGGAGCGTCCTTCCTAGCCTATCTATTTTAAAAAAAAATAATTATCTCGGGCTGGACGACAGCAGGTACGTTTTTTTGTAATTGGGTTCGTGCTCGCTGTAACTTTTTCCTAAGAGATGTAAGATCTGTCATTCCACCAGGGCCCTTCTACAGAGTCTTCTGATGTCTATACTGTTCCTGCAAACCTCCTGGAGACAGTGTATCACTAAAGTTACTGCCTTGTCCGCAGGAAAAGATGACAATTTATTTTTAATGATATGGTTGAAAGCCTCGCGCAATTCGTAATCGAACAATTCCCAGTTAGCATGCTTTAAATTAAAACATAATTCATTTTGCACTAAGAAGTTTTTTAATTTATATGAGACAATTTTAAATAATATTGCGTTATGATCACTTATTGACATACCAGGGGAAATATGCCAGTCTTTTATATGTTTCGATATTTCTACCGTTGACATTGTAACGTCTATATTCGACATTCCTCTAAGAGAAGCATATGTTATAAAGTCATTCCTTTGATTTATTATTCTTAGATTATTAGATACCATAAAATCCTCAATCATGTCGCCTCTTTCATAGTAGTATGCAAAAACCAAGAAATCGATAAAGATAAATGTATTTCGAATACATTTATCTAGAATTTTCAGATACAGTTCTACTGGATGGGAAAATTGAAAGTAAGCCGAAATTAGATAAAATTCACAGTAACCAGTAATTATCAGAAGAATTATGACATCTTGATTTCTTCAGGTTCAATTGCAGAACATCTACGTTAGGGTTATTGACCACTATGGTAATCATTGGATCGCTAACATTGGTTGAAATACTCTAGACATAAATCCCGTATAACATTTGACTTTGCCAGACAAAGAGTATGGTTCCTGCACAACGATAATGTCCATTGAATTTTCCTTCTTAAATCACTCGCGACCTCCTTCGACCTTTGAGCGTTCAGCTGTAAAATTTTTAATTCCATCGAGTACATTTACAATATAAGTCTAATTTAAATATTCCGGATACTTAGTATCTTTAATAGAGTGCTTAAAGTCTTTTCTTTTTCCTCTTTTACAGTTTATACATTTAGTTTCTTCATTAGGACATGCGGACTTTAAATGATCTTTCTCTCCACATTTCTTACAAAGCTGAAGCGCTGTGCAGTTTCTGGCAACATGACCATAAGAGTAACATTTAAAACAACGAGATATATTCAAAAATGCTTTTATTCAATAAGAGAAAAGATCCATATATACTCTTTCTTGTTTTATTAACATTTTATAAACTATTGGGGGCAATTCTATGACCCAATTAATTTTCTCCGGATTTTTCGTTTTAATATTAAACCTGAATTTTATCTGCTCTCTTGTAATATTTTTATTCTGTAAATATTCTTCAATATTTTTTATTCATAACTGATCATATATTTCTTCTTTTGAGAGTGACTTATCCACGTCATACATGATTACTATTGAACCCGATTTCTTTGGCATCTCCGCTCTTAAGCCAATTTTAACTAGATTAGAATTACGTATTATTCTTAAGTCTTCTTCGTCGGCAAATTCTGCTATTAAACCTTTATTCCTCATTTTCCTAACGGTTTTAATTTTTATTTTATTCTTTTCCGTTTTTAATAATTCGCAAAAATTAGATTTAAGTTCGTCATTATCTCTATTGTCCGTTTTCTTATCTGGTTTCAGAAGGAGAATTACCTGTTTAGATGGTTGACGTTCCAATCTAGACAGAGAGAAATTAGGATAGGCTTAGCAATTGCAACAGATGCGTAAGTATATTCTATATTTTCCTTTCCATCCTCTGCCTCTTTTTTCTTTTTCTTCTAATCTTCCTCTTAAGATACTATTTTCAATCTGCGTAATATGTAATAAATAAAATATTCTAACTTGTTCCACTTACCCATAATAAATTTTATTGCCGTCTTTCTGATTTTATTTGCTTCATTAAACAAGAATTGCTCCATTTTCTTTTTTAAATTAAATTTCATTTCGAGACATCAACATCCTCTAATTTATCCATATTTTCTTTATGGCCTCTTTTAACCCTTCTGGAGCCCGAAATTGACAGAGCTATGTCTCACTCTCCATCCTACTTCTTCTACTTCGACAATCTCTGTAATTTCTCTATCACTAAATGTGTTTTTAATATTTTTGTCCTCCATTGTTCCCACGAGAATGATAGGAAAAAGAAGTCCACCTGGGCAGAGCCTCCAATACCCACCACCAGATAAGTCTCCGTACTTCGGGGGGTCGGCAAATATCCCGGATCGTTTACACCGCGCTGTTTAACGTCCCCCGCGACCATGCAGCCCTCGGCACCATGCCTTACACTTTAGCTTGAGACACACGTAGGTACACACTTAGTCTGACATCTCAAATTCTTCCGGCAATGGGTAAAAACCCTGGCCAGGGGACCTAGTCCCCGCCGGCATGGCTTCAAGGATCATCGAAGCTCGCAAGCCCCCCCACCACGACAAGGTGATGCACCGCGCGGAAGAGTAGATAGGAACAGTTAATGTGAAACCAGGGCGCCCGAAGACAATCCCAGTTGTGTCATCCGGTCTTGGAGGGATATGCAACAAACCATCTCCACCATCATCGCGAAAGCCGTATCGAGACGGGCGATGGAAAAACCCAGCAACGCCTACGGGCTCAACTTGTAGAAATGAGCAGTTTAGCCGCAGCGCGTACCCGTACTGCCACGTCTTTCGACCGCACATGTACGACCGTCGGATGTGGAGCTTTACATGCACACCGCGTCTTCGGGAAACCATGGGGAGGCTCACTCATTTGCGTCCCGGTCTCAGACGCACTTTCTGACCCTGTACGGAAGTGGGATTTGCGGTAAATTATTGCGATGGTTAGGAAGTTGACCGCTCCCGTGAAGTCTCGTCCAGCCAGCAGAACGACTCCCCGGACCGAGATCCATCTCCAAAC